CGAAATCTCACAACAGATTCAACATATATCGATAGAAGGGTAATAAGAAGTATTGCACACCCACAAAAGCGAGAGCATCTCCCTTTGAGAGTTAGAATACTACCATCGATTCATCATCTGTCATCAGTGGCGACCAAATAAACTCGGTCTCTTTCCCTAAGATGCAAGTTGATGCTGCCTTTTATCTCTCTTTTCATTTTAGCCTGATTTTACCCTATGTTGCTATGGTGCTTTCTATCCAGTCACCGTCTGCTGCAGAAAATTTCATTAGTCGCGAGATAATCGCACATCGATCATACCATTTTTTTTAAACAGATTAACACGAGGGTTTCCTTCGCGAGAACTTTTCGAACACACCTTGCACAATTTTCGGAAATGTTCACGCACTGTAACTTTATTGCATTTCCGCAAGTTATTTTATATTTATTTCGTTTCTTCTATTTTAAATTATTTTATTTTACTTTTGATTTAGCTGATATTTATTTCTCGCTTTTATGCTTACAATTAATTTCGCTATAGATATGATTAGGATCACGTCACTCTTCCCCCACGCGTAATTGAGTCACTCACGCGAAACGGTTAAAAATTACTGAAGAAAGCTCATATTTCCTGTCGACGAGGAAGACGTCTCTTCCCACTTCCTCAACGCATGTCCTTTTCGATTTTCTCCGGCGCCCCGCGCCTTTATTCGTCATTTGACGCCGATCGAGTGAAAGAGGCAGGGAGAATCACCCGTGTACCGTGCTACCCTTTCCCACAGCATTTGAAAGAGGGTAGCCCCTTTCTCCTCCTTCGCGAGAAACGGGTCAAACGTCGACTCCGATTTACCCTGTCATTCCGGCGAATCCTCTGATTCGCAAGGACACCAACGGACACCACAGCAATTTAATAACCCGTGAAAGATTTATTATCCCGAACCTGCAGGCGGCGTGCAAAACTCTGAAGCCTTCGAGGCCGTTCCTTTAACACACTTTCTTGTATGTGGATCTTTATGATCCTATTAGGCTTCAATATATCAGGATACAGTTTAGGATAATACCCAATGCGCTTTCACAATCCTTCTCAATAATTCGTCAAACTTCGATTAAATCGAGAATTGTCGCAAGTAGTAATTCGTTTTATCACGCCCCTTTATCTGACTTTTCTTCGAACAAAGTGAAAGCGAGATTACTGCCACCAGGTGCTATTATAAATGTCTCCCGCGTACCTTCGACGGCGGCATCGCGACGCCAACTGAGGAACACGTTCGACGTCGGAACTCGGGTCGCTTTGAAACCGGCGCTATTGGCCGCAGGGCCGTACTAACTACATAAAAAACTCGTGAAAAACTTCAAATAAAATTTTCCTACCCCCTTCCCCTTCTCTCTCTCTCTCTCTCTCTCTCTCTCTCTCTCTCTCTCTCTCTCTCTCTCTCTCTCTCTCTCTCTCTCTCTGTCTCTCTCTCTCTGTCTCTCTCTCTCTGTCTCTCTCTCTCTGTCTCTCTCTCTCTGTCTCTCTCTCTCTGTCTCTCTCTCTCTGTCTCTCTCTCTCTGTCTCTCTCTCTCTCTCTCTCTCTCTCTCTCTCTCTCTCTCTCTCTCTACCCCCCTCGCGCTTAATATTTGAGAAAGATTGATATATTTGAAGACGATTTTTTCTTAAACACAATATAAAAAATTTCTTTTTTTTAAACCAATATCTTTGAAATTCACATGATTTAATTATATGAATAATTAAATATATAAACAATAAAGAGAAGATATTGACGCTCGTCTAAAGCAACAGCTATAAGCATATAATTACGGCTAGTATTTTCGAGCAAATTTTAGGCGTTCTAAAAGAAATGTCAAATGACTATTAATTTATTTAATAGTCTTACCGTTTTAACTTCATTTGGTTTTCCTCAGAGCATAATAATATATATCGATTAATAATAAGACATCAAAAAGAATATATAGTGTTGGAGCAGATCATATATATGAAGGAATAACAATCATTGTACTGTAACAATAAATATATAAAGAAGATATAATTTCAAATTTGTTACAATAATTATTAACCACTAGGAAAGTTTGGTACTTCTGTATCCCGTGAACAATATCTTGCCGCTTCACTCATACCACCGTATCGATTTCGACTGGCTTTTTACTCTGACTTTTACAACCGTTTCTGTGCTTCACCAGGATACTGAGAAAAATATTCTTCCTTATTCTTCGCCGTTAGCATTTTAATCGAATATAAGCGACATTATTTTCGCATTTGCATATTTACTTAATATAATTAAAAAGCATTTTCAAAGTGCAAATAAAGAGTGCTTGCATAGAAAAGAATTATCTTGCATAGAAAAGAATTATCTTATATCCGAAAAAAAATAATTAACAAAAATTATAGAAGTAAAAATAATGGAGAAAAATAGCTGGATTATAAATTACTTCATTATTTATTAAAATAATTATAAACAATGCTGTGGAGATGGAAGAGGCAGCAAAAGGTACGAGCAAAGTAAGATTCACCGTAGGGAAAAACTCTGGATTGCGGAGGCGAACATACATGGAAAGTAATTAAGGCTCCTGTTTACTCACTGCAGCCATCTTGGATTGATGACGTCAGAAGCGAGAAAATCATGAAAATATATCATGAAAATTCTTGCGATTTACACTAAAATAAAAATGCTTTTTAATAAAATACCATCTGTAAACGATAAAATAGATTTGTAAAATACACCGAAAATTCCCCTTTTATATGAGTAATCCATATTTGTCGAAGTAACAAGAACGAAAACAAGCCGTTTGACAGCTGTCGAATTGAAATAAGTATTTGCTTGCACATATTAATATAAATCACAATAAAGTGGATATCTTCGTTATATTTTAACACTATCACAATAATTTTAAATGTAAAAACACTGCACTAAAATTAAGAATAACGCTGTAAATCGCAAGGATAATTTTGCTTTGACGTGTCATTTTTCACGTCTTATAGTTCACAGTTTTGCCAGTGTGGCGCTGTCACGCGGAGTTGGCTCGCGAGCCGCGAGCCAGCAGGAGCCTTAAGCGAAGAAACACCAAGGACTACTGAAAAACAACGAAATAAATATGTACAAGGGGGAAAACGCATAAGGAGAATGTGCAGGGAGGATAAGAATAATTATACAATGGAAATATGTAGTAAAACTGAAGAACATCAACATAAGGCAGAAGTTAGAGACCTACTTGCTAAAATAAAACAGGTAACACGAAACTTCAAGATACACACGCTAATAATAGAGGATGGACAAGGATACATAATAACTAAGAAACCGAAGGTTTTTAAACGCTGGAAAAATTACTGTCAATCCCTATTCGAGGTCAAACAGAACTATGTTAGAGAATAGAACTATGTCAAAGAAGAGGATCGGCAACTATACTAATAATAAAATCAGAAGTAAAACTGGCACTCAAGCTGTAACTATGAAAGACAGCGAGTGTTGACGGAATAGTCTCGGAAATGTTTAAAGAACCGATAAAACAAGTGTAGACCTATATTTCCTATATAACAAAATATGGAAATCATATATCCCAGGTAGCAAGCACTCGTCATTTTGACATCAATTGACTCAACGAGTGGCTTATCAAATTTATGTATATTTATATTAATTCATAAGAAAAGGACAAAAACACAATGCTCCAGAAAGTAGGCCTAAAAATCAATCCCTCCAAGATAAAGATGATCAAAAATCACACTCAAAAAAATGAACCTGGATCTAAAGTCATAAATGAAATCGAAGTAGTTAAAGATTTCATATACCTGTCAGTCAAAATATCGAGCATAAGTAGTTATCAAGGGGAAACAAAGCGAAGGATGGCAATAAGCCGAGATGCTGTTGTAAGGCTGATGAAAATATGGAGAAATTGCGGAATAACAAAAGCCACCAATAAAGATAATAAGGATAGTAAGAGCACTCATATTTCCCCCATCGTGATGCATGAAATATAATCGTGGACAGTGAAAATGGCTGACAGAAGACAAATTCAGATCTCTGAAATGTTTATTTGGTGATGGATGTTGAGAATCCCATAGACTGCAAGACGATCGAATGACTCCATTCTAAAGGAACTAAACATCATAAAGAGACCGAATGTTATCGTACAAAAAATCATTATATGGATATAAATATTTTGATCACACCATGAGAAAAGATAAGGATTCGCTGGAAAGACTACCCTAACAGCACGATATATTGCAGCAATATTGCGGATATTACAATTTTTTCGCGGAGTTATGCTTATTTGAAGTTAAGCAAATTTTTGACGTAAATTTTTGTTGCGATAATTTTGTTGCCCAGTTTATATATAAAGGGAAAATAGTATATTGTACAACTAATGGGAAAAGTGGTCGATTCTGAATCAGTGTGAAGTTGGTCGCACTCATTTGGGCTCGACCACTCTTCCCACGAGTTGTTCATACTATTTTTCCTAACAAGAGCGTGAAACAGGCCGCTTTTCGCGCTTGTTTTACAATTTCATTTCTCCACTAGTTGAGAAATGGCTCCATGTTTCAACGCTTACGTCATCATTGCGAAATGGATCGTTTTACTCACTCAAAACAAGCGCGAAAAGCGGCCCATTTCACGCTCGCGTTAGGAAAAAATTATTTTAACTCACATATATATCAATTATATTAATTAAATATATAAACATAAGTCATGGAGCGTGTCAATGTACCAATGTTCGGACAACTGACACATAGGTTACAGCCTAGTATTCGGACATAACTTGTCTCAGTGTCCGACCAATTAGAAAATTAGTATGTTAAAGAAAAATATTGTTATAAATAAATATTTAATGACAAAAAACAGCTCCAAATTGGTGTTTATATACTTAATAATATTTTATTCTTGTCAAAACTTAAACAAATAATTTATTTCATGAAATAGGGCATTTAACCTACAAGTAAAATAAGTTCTCAGCCAGACGGATCGCCCGCTAGTAAAGTACGTGTTCAGAACCTTAAGCCTCATCACCCTTCTGTTCTCGATCTCTAGAGTTACCATATTACCGGAAATGCTAAGTTACGAGGCCAAGCGCTTATGGCCCTATTTTGGCTCCGCCACCGAAAACTGCGGCGATTCATCAATCGGAGGGACCCAGGATTCTGGCCGCAGTGGCAGAAACTCATCACCCAGGACGATTTCTACAGATACTACGCTGCAGCGTCTGTCCATGGAAATTGTTAGTGAAAGATTGTGTTTATATTTGTTTATGCAAAGTTTATCAATGCTTACACTATTTATGAAGAGTTTTATTGATGTTTACACTGTTTAGAAGCACGTTGCAAACACTTGGTTAACCCTCTGTTAAGAAACATTTTATAAGTACTTAGAAAACTATAATGGAAACGTTTGAGACTATTACTACGTTTACGCGAGCGTTACTTCTGTAGTAACTTACGATAATTAATTCACTCGTTTACGTGGAGGAAATTATCGTAATAGTCCAAGAGCCGGCTGCACAAAACCCTCCCTCATCGAACATCCGGCTGAATTTTATTTGAATAATAAATAGCTTTTTTAGTGGTTAACCCTGTGCCGGGTTTTATATGCCCTGAAACTTGACCGAAGTGTTAAAAAAAGGGCCACTTCCGGTATGATTTTTTGAGATGAAACCCCTTCAAAGAACATCCGGCTGAAACTTGTGCCAATCGATTCAGGATGTCAAGCACATTGATAAAAAAATATGCTGCCACCCCCCACCTTGACAGGAACCATGGCAGCAACCCTTAAACGTGACATATTTTCGTACCGTACCTCCCTCACAGAACATCCGATTTTTTTTTTTTTTGAAATGTAGCTCGAACATTCCTGAACATAAAAAAACAATGCTGCCATCGCTGGCCTTGACCAAAATTTTTTGTGCCACCTGTAAGTCGCGCGACTTTTAGCTGCTAATTTGTAACGGGTCAATACTTCCTTCACAGAACATACGATTTTTTTTTGTTGGAAATGTAGCTCGAACATTACTAAACATAAAAAAACAATGCTGCCATCACTGGCCTTGACCAACAATTTTTGTGCCACCCGTAAGTCGCGCGACTTTTGGCTGCCAATTTGTAACGGATCAATACTTCTCTCACAGAACATACGGGTAATCTCTTGCCATGTATTTAAATAGAAAATAGGACAATCTTTGACGAGAACGATCTTAAGAACCGACTAATACCGTCCATACTAGCGCGAAAATTCCCATCGAATATTTTGTGGAAAAAATAGTTTGTGATAAACAAGCTGCGCGTACATTGGTAGAGATATGGAATGAAACAAGGTAAGTTCATATAACATTCACGTATTTTTATTTATTTATTTTTTATTCTTATTTTTTTGTATTTAAAATCTTAAAAGTAAGATATAAAACATAAATATAAATCACGAGATTTTTTTTAATCGCTATTGCTGTTGGAACTATCGACAGTATAGTCCTCGTCGTCACTATCATTATGCTCTATGACTAATTATGCTCTTATGCTCTATGCTCTATGAAGATTCAACTCTTAATGGAGTTGGATCTTCGTGGAACCATAGCTCTACTGGCCCTGGCTGAGGTAATATTTTTCGCCCTAAATTTAATTATTTAAATGATATATAAGTATCAAAGATTACATGACGATAATCGAACCAATTCGTGGTCGTATTGTCTTGGCGATTATAATGGCCTGTAGAGTCGATTAATATTTCCATTGTTGTTTATCAATTAACTGGCGAAATAAAAGTAATTTATTCCATTTATATTTATGTTTTATATCTTATTTTTAAGATTTTAAATACAAAAGAATAAGAATAAAGAATAAATAAATAAAAATACGTGATTGTTATGTGAACTTACCTTGTGCCATTCCATACCTCTACCAATGTACGCGCAGATTGTTTATCACAAACTATTTTTTCCACAAAATATTCGATGGGAATTTTCGCGCTAGTATGGACGGTATTCATAGTCGGTTCTTAAGATCGTTCTCGTCAAAGATTGTCTTATTTTCTATTTAAATACATGGCAAGAGATTACCTGTATGTTCTGTGAGAGAAGTATTGACCCGTTACAAATTGGCAGCCAAAAGTCGCGCGACTTACGGGTGGCACAAAAATTTTTGGTCAAGGCCAGCGATGGCAGCATTGTTTTTTTATGTTTAGTAATGTTCGAGCTACATTTCCAAAAAAAAAAAATCGTATGTTCTGTGAAGGAAGTATTGACCCGTTACAAATTGGCAGCTAAAAGTCGCGCGACTTACAGGTGGCACAAAAATTTTTGGTCAAGGCCAGCGATGGCATTGTTTTTTTATGTTCAGGAATGTTCGAGCTACATTTCCAAAAAAAAAAAAATCGGATGTTCTGTGAGGGAGGTACGGTACGAAAATATGTCACGTTTAAGGGTTGCTGCCATGGTTCTTGTCAAGGTGGGGGGTGGCAGCATATTTTTTTATCAATGTGCTTGACATCCTGAATCGATTGGCACAAGTTTCAGCCGGATGTTCTTTGAGGGGGTTTCATCTCAAAAAATCATACCGGAAGTGGCCCTTTTTTTAACACTTCGGTCAAGTTTCAGGGCATATAAAACCCGGCACAGGGTTAACCACTAAAAAAGCTATCTATTCGAATAAAATTCAGCCGGATGTTCGATGAGGGAGGTTTTTGTGCAGCCGGCTCTCCTACTATAAGTTACTACAAAATCCCGTTTACGCGAAAGAAAATCCCGTTTACGTTATCGCGTAATATATGTTATTATAAACGCCACTTAAACACTTCATAAGAAAAACAGCCGTGAACATCTCATAAACAATTCCATGTTTAAATTTACATCTCATAAACAATTTAATAAATGTTTTAAAGCTCAAATGAAACATCTACAAGCTCAAGCAAACATCTTATAAATATATAATTTTCGCCAGGTTTACCGCAACGTCCAACGTACCGGAAAGTCCAGACCCGGAGGAAGGAACTCCGCATTGTCGCCATACAGACGGAGGAGACAATGCGGTGCCAGGCGACGCAGACCCTGCCCGTCCCGGGAGAAAGGAAGATGATGAGTCCCCGAGAGGCTCGCGAGGAACGGACCAATAGAAGCGGCTGCTGGAACTGTACCGCGGAGTGGCACTTCTACGCCAAGTGCCCCCTTCCCCGTCAAAGGAAATTTTGTTACGGGTGCGAGGAGCAAGGGGTAACCCTCCGAGAGTGCCAGCGTATCGAGAGGCACAACCATTCACCGCCCCTCAGAGGCCCCAGAACCAGCACCAGAGCCGCAGCTAACCAAGACAATCATGAAGGGGAAAGTCTATTACCAAAGATGGCTCCTGTATTACCGTTACCGTTACCGTTACCGTGTAGTCCACAATAAAGAAATACCTAAGATGAACTTGAGTCTAATCCTTATTCTCCTTCCGCTGCACGTATCGGTCTTTTGTGGGTGCTCGTGTGTTGGGTGGCAATCCGGACGAGAAACGGACTGGGGGATGGGAGTTCCCAAAGACTTGAGGGGCAGTAAAAATTTTGTTGGACAAATGAAGTTATGTGAATAGACACCTGAGTGGTCATCGGCGTGCCGGGGCTAATACCCCCTCGGCGTTCGTTTGGGAAGGGGGAGTTGTGACCTTGTGACGTGACAGGGTCGCGTCATAACCCACACGGTAGCTTGGGGTTACCGCTTCGGATAAAATAGCTGCGTTTATTGTAGTGCGAAGTTATGACGTAGCACACTTCCATTAGTGACATCACATTTATTACTTTGTTAGCACTACCAAGTACCTCCCCGAACAGTCTTTGCGCTAAATAGCGTTAATAACGCGCTCCGCAAACGCAACTCCAGTACTTAATATGAAAAACATTTAAGAAATCAGAGTGCACACATTTATAAAATATACACACGCTTACATTTATCGGCTCGTTATGTTTATAATTCGCATGAGAATTTAAAATAGATATGTATTTAAAATTCTATTTTTATGCATTTATACATATAATATATATATATATATATATATATATATATATATATATATATATA